TACAGTGCTCAAAACCCACTGTACCAAGATTACCAGGAGGTTTAATTTCTTACCCATAGTTCTGGGCCATCCATTAAATACTTCCTTTATGTACTCCACTGTTATGCTCCAAAGTTACCAGGTGCTCCCTGAGGAGTGAAGATACACAAGGGAGCAGGCAGTCCTGCTGGCTCCACTCTCTTTCAGGCTGGGACATAACATTGGTAGCACACACTTTAAGGCCAGACAGTGCCACAGGAGCCACCAGAGATGGATGACTTCAAAATCGCTGCAGTCATTAAGCTCCAGGCCAGGAGGTTGAGAGGTCTAGAGGGACCTCTGTTTCCTATGACTGCTTCGGTAACAGTGTTTCTCCAAGGAAGACGATCTCATTTGACCCAGTATTTATCTCAGTTGAGGCTGCTTTCAACCAAAACAAATTGTGCAGAAGAACTCTTTAAACTCCTGTGTACCAAAGAAGGGTGGGAGAATGGAGAAAGGCTCTAATGATCTAAGGGCCTCCTCTGAAGTTGCACAGGCAAGGTAAAGTCTCTTCTCCTACCCACAGTCTGTGCAGATTCTTGTACCCACAATACTAGATCTCAAGGTCACCCTCTCTTTAGACTCCTTAAGAGCTTAAACCCTTTCCATCCAAGAATACTTGGCACAGGGCTAGTCTAGCTAACTCATCATCTTAAAGAATAAGTGTGCTTCTAATTCTAACCCCAAAACCTGATCTAATCATTGTGACTGAAAAATTAAGCTAAGAAAAGATGGAGGTGGGACAGCAAGGAACACAGCCACAATGGGCAGACACATGGATGGAAGTTGGAAAGGGCAAGGCTGTTTGGGGGAGCTGCAAATAGTTCTAGATGCCAGTATTCATTCACTTAACCATTTAACCACCCAACTAGCAAGTATTTTGTGCATACTTACTGTGTGTCAGGTACTACACAAGTATAAAGAAATGGCTGGACATGAAGTAAGAGAAAAGAAAAACAAGATCATGAAAAAGTAAAATCTAAAGTTTTAAATAGTGTTCTGAAATTCTTTGTATCATTGTTGCAGGCTGAATGTGCAGGTTTTTGGAGCAGGGATTGCAGGGTTGATGGAAGTATGAGGGAATTCTGGAGCATATTGATTTTCTTTTGTTTATTTCCCAGAAACATAACTACTAGATATAAAATTTCCTGGTAGTAAAAAAATGTTCATCGGCACAATTTCCATTTATCATTTGTTTTTCCAACAGCTTCTTGCAGGAGTTTCCAGCAGGCTGACAGAGGCCCAGGTGGGAATGTAGAAAACTCTACCTGTGCAAGAGTTTGGGCTTTTGTTTTTATTACCAACTGGAGTTTTCTGATTGTGAAGCTGGACCACCCTTTGTACTACCAAAGAGTGTCTGTGGCAAGCCTGAAGTTTCATCCAAATGACAGAATTTTTTAAAAAAGAGAAAGCTTTGAGAGAAGAAAGCATAATATATTTTTCTTTTTGTACAACAAGCCCAATTTGTTGAATAACTATCTACACATGTCTTGTATGTGGACATAAACTACTTTGCTTGCCTGGCTTCTGTCTTTGGGAAATGGCACTCACTTTTTTGGGTTTGGATTGCTCCTCGTACTAGTCTGTTCAGATGGTTCCAGAGGGTGCTGCCAGCCACAGGAATTGAGTCCCATAGCCATAAACATGGACATATATCCCAAGCTGGAGCAGTCAGAGCCCTTTCTTGAGGTTTTAAAAATTAGGAGCAGGAAAGAGAAATCATCCACTGTTGATGTGAATTGGCAGCCTCAGCCTTAGGTGCTGTGGTTTGGATGTGGTTTGTCTCCAGAAGGTCCATGTGCTAAAGCTTGGTCTCAAATGTAATGGTGCTGAGGTGATGGAATTTTCAAGAGGTGGGACCTGCAGGAAGGTCATTAGTTGACCTTCAGACCTTCACAAATGGATCAGTGCCACCTTAGAGGAGTGAGTCAGGTTTCTTGGGGCTGGATTAGTTCTCCTGAGAGAGGGCTGATATAAAGCAAAGCCACTCACATTCTTGGCCTCAGGTGCATAATATTAGTTTCCTTTCTGCTTCTCCACCACACTGTGACACATCCAGGGGTTCCCTAACCAGACACCATGTTGTCTGGACTTTCCAGCTACAATAATCATAAGCCAAATAAACTTTTTGCTTCTTCAAAATTACCCAGCTACAGGTATTTTGTTATGGCAGCATGAAATCGTCTAAGACACTGGGCAAACATGTTTCCAGAAGTACAAACCAATTTAACCAACAATCAGAGTAGATTCCAGATTTGGTGGGGCTTTAGCCCCTGGTTCTAGCTTCCTTGAGTTCTAGTAAAATCCCCACTCTTTCCCCAGTTCAGTTATATCTCTAACAACTTTGTGTTTTTGTCACTTAAAATCAGGTAGTCACTAACAGAAAATAAGATTTATCCATAAGAAGTGCCTTGACAGCCTGGCACTTATACATAGGTTGAGTTATTCTCCTATTGGATTTAAACCACTTCACAGAATGCCATCCTCAGACAAGGTTACTTTAGGTTGTAAAATTCAACAAAGGAGGATCACTTCATCATTTTGACAGGATACAGACAAAAAATAAAAATAAAAAAAGATCACTGAGCCATTCTTCTTTTGTTTAAATGATTGTAGTTTCTTTAGAAATTACAATTTTATATTTTTTCTAGCCCCCTTACTAATAAATTTCCCATCCTAAACCCAAATCATATACAATAGGTTCTTCCAAACACCCTCTAACTGATTCACTCCATCGTGTGTTTCCTCCCTCAGTGCACAGAGTCAAACCACAACTTGTTCAACTGCAGGTATGTTTCCAGTGCCTTTGACTACAAGAAATTAACACTGTTAAAATGTTCCCTGTTTAAAAATATTGATGTTCTATGAAGCCATATGTTTTCCAGAATTTCTGAAAGACACTTTACTTAATAGGCTGGACACTTTTACTTTTAAAAGGCTGGAAACTTGCAGAAGTGCCAAAAGAAACCAATTGAGCCATGTATCTTTTACTTCTTAAATAATTTAGAAGGTATGGATACTTGAGTGAAATAAAGAGATTTTCCTCTTGTGATTCTGGCTCTTTTTTCTCCAGCTGCACACTGTGTTAGCATCTGAGGGTTCACCAGTAAGCTCTCCTCTAGCATTTCTTCTGGGCAAAGGCTTTTGCTCTAGATCCACTCCTTTTCAGGGCTGCTTGCATTACCCATGAGTGGCTTATGTGAGAGTAAAGACAGTACTATCTTTTTGCCTAGATTTGTACCAATTCCAGGCCATTCCAGCCCAGCACTCTTGTAGGGTGGGTGAAGGCCTCTTCTGCAATTGCCGCCTCATCACAGTTTATCATTTTCTCTCTTCCCAGCCCAACTTATTTTGCTCCCTTCAAATCTGCTGGGTGCAAATTTCCATCCCTGAGTCTATTTCCTGTGGAGGTGACCTAGGATAAAAAGTAGATAGAGAATTCAACCCTGACTGCTCAAAAATTCTCATACGAATCTAGAAAAGTTCTATCATTAAAAAGGCTGATATTTCCTGCCCAGTGGACTTGAAATATGGTTCATTAAACTGGTGGAGGTAGGGGGTTAAGAGTATCACAGGACCAATATAGTATCTTCTTTAATTAGGAAGAGGAATCAAGGCTAGAGGCTTCCAAGAGCTAAGAGTGGCTTTTACATTGTGTCACCTAGCGTAATTAGTAACTAACTAATGTTGATTGTCCTGTTTTGTTATTTTAATACAGATGCACAGCCATGTGATACATGTTTTGAGAAATATGTCCTTAGGAACTTTTGATATTGTGAGAGCATTATGGACTGTACTGACATAGTACAGTGATGGCTGTGACATCACTCAGTGGTATGTGGGACCACTGTTGTGTACACAGTCCATCACTGACCAAAATGGCATTGTGAGGTGCATCACTGGGGAAGCTCATAGGAAAAAGAAATGCTTCAAAGCTCCTTTGTTATGTGAGAGTAAGCCTGGCTGTCTGAATTGTACAATTATAAACTATATTCCTCTATACAACTAGTTATCACTTACCTAAATCTATATCACAGATCCTAGGAGAGAATTTTGTTATAATATCTACTTTTAATGACTGAAACTCATAAAATCACAACTCTAAAATACCTGATTCATTAAATCTAGTCTTCTGTCATGCTCTCTGCAGCTCGGTTCCATCCTTACCAGCATTCCGTTGTCTCCCAATACAAAGTTCATGTCTCCCTCCCTGCGTTGCATCTTCTTACTCTTTCTTTTATCTTACTCTCCTCTGACCCAAATCCAACCTCTCTTTGAAGAATCTTACTCCATCTTAGGAGCCTTCCTTATCCAGGTTTAACATGGATAATCCTTTCCTACCCTATCACCTGTTTCTCCTTTCCTATAACTGTATCTCATATACTTTCATGTATGCTACCTCATAGTATTTAGCACTAGGCATACATAGCTGCTAAATAAATACCATTCCTAAGAGCTTTATGAATATATAGTTTACATACCATAAACTCACCTATTTTAAGTATACAATTCAAGATTTTGGGGGGAAAACTTACATAGTTGTACAATCAGGACCACAATCTAACTTTAAAATATTTTCATCACCCTCAAAAGATCTCTAGTGCCTATTGAAATCATTCCCCATTTCTGTCCCTCAGCCTAGATAGCCACTCCTTCACTTTCTGCTTCTATAGATTTTAAGAAAGTCTTTTTGGTTTGAAGTATCTATATTTACTAATCACTTGTTATTGAGCCTCATTTACAGACACTCTAGAGCTGGGGATTTAGCTCAGTGGTTCTGGCACCTGCCTTGCAAGCACAAGGTCCTGAGTTCAATCCCCAGTACCAAAACAAAACAAAACAAAATACAGACACTCTAAATAAAGTACATATATTTGAATAAACCTTGTCAAATATGTGGGATTGAAAAACTCTCCTCACTAGTAAACTTATCACATGTACTTCTTATTCAATCTAAAAGATATCTTTCTAGGCAAAACTTAAATATTCAGATTTATTTTACATTCAATAATAATGATTAAGTTGGTTTTGTTTTACAATGTGAAAAACAGGAAGGTATTGGAGTGAACAGATTACACGGTGGCATTTTGAGACTATTCAAACAAGTCAAATTGCTTGTAAAAATTAAATAGGAAGTGAAACAAGCATCCTTTTTTGCACTCCCCTTGTCTTTAGCCCAAGGGACATGGACTCCTCCTGAGAACAATTATAACGGACAGCATGCAGATGTTCAAGACATCACTTCCTAAATAGGTCAAATATAAGTCAGAGTGTACACCTTTTATTTTTTTTTTTTTTACTTATATTCATTTATCTTAACCTCTTAAATGTTAAGTAATTCTTTAAAAAAATTACATTTGAACTCAATTTAAATTTTGGTCATTTTATCAACTATCTTATAAGTACACAAAAAAGAAACTAAAATCAAAATTATTTCTTGCCCTGTTTTTAACCAATGATTAATTTATAGAAATATTTAATTTAAAAACATTTTAATAAAAAGTTAAGAATATTGGTAGATAACATAAAAGTACGTCAAGAAAAGAAGTAGTCATGGTTTTTATTTTATAATGTCCAAATAAAATAGGATTATATCACATTGAAAAATAAATCTTATCTAAAATGCTATGAAACAAGTGTCTAAATGTTAGGGTAGAGAATAGTGAAAATTATTCCTCCATGCATTCACACTGTTAGCTGACTGTAGACTCTTTCAGAACCAACAGTACTTTGAATATTACTTATTCCAAGATTATGTGAACGTAGCCCTAAGAATCTGAAGTATTTAAATCAAAGTTTCAAAATGTGACAGCTCATGTTTCTTAAATCTAACATAACTTTTAATTCAATGGTATAATAATGAATTCATGTGAATATATTATACTGCGCTTACCATCACTAATTATTTAAGATTTTGTTTATAATTGTAACTTTCAAGATCGAGAATTGAATTTCAGTTGGACCAACACTATCTCCTGAGTCTGTGTGGAGGAAAGGGAAATTTTTTCCACAAAGACAATTTACTAAGTAACCTTGAGGAACCAAGCATTTCTGCAGTATTTTTAAGTAAGAGAATTGTTTCTTCACTCCAGTAGCAGAAACCTAAGTATTGGGAAAATATAAATAAGTGTTTGCTATAGTATTTATCTTACTAAGTAATTAAAATGAACTGTGAAGGTTTTATGTCCCTTAATATCAAATTTTAAAAGTATTTAATGTTTAGCCAAACCAACATGGGGATACTAAAATGCAAAGCTTTCAAAATGAAAACATCGCTGTTATTAAACTTAAAAAAAAATCTTACTCTTATATAACTGAAAAAGCCTATATCCATCAAAACAATTATCTTACATTCTAACTATATTCTCCAAACCCAAAAATGATTTTCTTTAAATGAGAAGGAGTTTAAAACTCTTTGAGGCTGTAATAGGCCTCAGTGGACAATTCTGTATTCATTAGTAGAAGATGTTCTTCCTATATGCTTAGATATTTATTATGATTAGATAAGTCAGCTGTCAATAAGATGACTGAAACAGGCAATTTCTATAAAGAGAAATAATTACAATATAATGCCATCGCATATACATATGAATAATCAGATTACATTACTTTTAGGTAAAACTTAAATTTACCTTAAACTTGTTAAATTGAAAAGTTACTCCGTTGGTCATTTAATCTCTAAACGAATTTAATACGCTGAATTTCGGGATCCAAGTGCTACTTGCAATTTATGGTGAAAGGCATTTATCCGTTCCTTCTGAACTGGCCAGTTCAAGATGCAGTGAGACTTAAACATTCCTCTTCTCAAAAAAAGTGCATGGTTAAGCTTATGATCTGGAATGTCCTCAAGAAAAACCAATATAATGGAATCTAGATTTTGTTCAATAGCCTGATGAACTGCATGATGCACCTTGAATCTAAGTAGAAAAAAGTTGAAAAATGAAATAATTAGTACACAATTTAACAGACAAAAGCCCAACAATCTAAAATTTGATATAGAATTTACTTGACTGTGTCACTAATAATCAAGATTTTTCCCTTAATTTTACTTTTAAAATTCTATGAATTGTAACATTTGAAAGTTCGGTAGAAAAACAAGTATGTATTTAAAATTTCACAATGTTCACCTACCTTTTGCACAGTGGATCTTTTAATAGATGCTGTGTTAGAACAAAAATAATTTTTCTGCTTCTTTTGATGCTATTAACAATTGCTTCAAGTCCAAGGACACCTGCTTCAAAGTCCCTTTCTTCCAGACAAAATTTGAGAGATTGGTCTTTTTCTTCCATTGGGGAGAAGTTTTCCCAGACCCAATCTCTATCTTTATAGGCATGAACTATATATGCTGTGTATTCAAATTGTTCTGGCTGCCCATCTACTTCCTTGAAACCAAGAACTCGATGGACCAAAACATTCCAATAAAAAGATATCCTCCAGCCCTCAAAATGGATGAGCAATACAATAAAGATAAAAGATAAAAGCAAACTGGTACTGATCACAAAAAAGAGTTCAAAGGGGGCACTGTCTTTGCAGGGTGCTGTATCAAAAAGCATCACCGGGAACCCATGATATTGAGGTGGAGTGTTGCAGATGTAATGACTTGATAGTTCTGAGATGTTAGTATGGGTCTTATTAATCCAATTAACAAACCAAGCAATGCTTTCACATGTACAATCAAATGGATTAAAGCGCATATCTAAATAAGTCAAGTTCTTGAAAACTGGTTCAAAAACGTTCTTCTCAACTGATGTTATGAGATTCTTTTGAAGGTTCAGGGACTTCAGAAACATCTGATGGTCAAAGAGAGATGGTGGAAGTACGTTTAAATTATTCAATCCTAAATTGATGCTCTTAAGTTCAAACAAGTCCTTGAACATATCTGCTGGAATTTCATCAAAGCCATTAGACTCTAAGTCAAGGATATGGAGGTGGGGAAGACCCTGTAGAAAATGAACAGGACCACCAGGGTTTGCATGTTTCCAGAGCCTTGCTAAGTTATTATGCTGCAAATCCAGAATTTCTAGCTTCTCAAGACCTTCTAACATGTCATCATTGATGCTGGCTATGTTGTTGTTGCTTAGATCCAGAATGGTCAAGTTATGAAGACTGCGGAAAGGTGAAGGAGAGCTGTCCACATTTTTAAGGACCACTCTTCGGAGCATCAGTCGTTGGAGTCCTGGGACCGATGCAAAGGATTTGCTAGTCAGTTGTAGGTATTTGTTGTAGGAAAGGTAGATTTCAAAAATATTTCCTAGACCTCTCCATTCCTGGCCTGTGAGTTCTTGCTCAATTTCATTAAGGCCAAGGTCAAGTACTTCTAGGTATCCCAAGCAAGAAAAAGTACCACTCTCTATTTTTGAGATTTTATTTCTGGTTAAGTTGAGCACACGTAAAGGAGAATGAGCAAGTGATAAAAATGTTTCATTTGTTAAAGTTTGCAAACTTGTGAAAGTGTTGGATAGACTTAAATATTTTAGATTTATCAATCCAGTGAACATACTGCGTTTTATGCCTGGAATATTGTTATCCTCCATGTTAAGGTACTCCAAACATTTTAGCCACTGAAGAGAAAAATCATCAATCTTTGGAAGTAAAGCAAGGGATATACTTTGTTTAGTAAAAGATCGTTTCAAATTCAGGTATCTCACATTGAAAAGCCCATAAAAAGAGTGAGAAGACAAATGTGCTACATTATTATATTCCAGGAAGAAATATTTCAGATGTGGAAGCCAAGAAAAGGAACCATTATCAACCACATTTAAGTAGTTGTGGGAAAGGTCGAGCATGGTGAGGTTGGTCTGCTTTAGTCCAAAGAAAGTTGTGTTGCTTGTTCTATATAGCTGGATATTACTCAGAGACAGATTCTGGATGCTTGTATTTGATAATTCCAAACAAAGCTTCTCTGTGAGACTAGGGCCCAGTTGAGCATTGTTCAAAAAGAGACCAAATAATTTTCCAATCACATGAAAACACCCTGGAGAAAACTAAAAGTGAGGAAATAAGATTAATCAAGGTATAATAAGCTTTCTATGATTCTTGGAAAACATAAGTATAATTGTTTATTCAATTTCCCTCCCCTTTCAACACATCTGTCTCCATTCCTGTAATCCCCTCTGCCCTTTCTCTGTGCTTGTCATACCACCCCGTGCCCCCAGCCCCTGGCCTGCCCTGGTGACTGGCTAATTTATACAAAGCATTCACATTTTGTTTACATGCCACGGCTTTGGGAGATCTTCCCTGACTTCCACAGCTAGGTTAAATCCTTGGTACTTTTACATCATTGCACTGAATACAGTTGTAGTTAATAAACTATCTGTGAGGTCACCATTGGAGCAGATCCTGGTTGTGTTTTTGATCACTTATTGTCAGTGACTATAAGAAAGAAAGAAATATATGGATGGTTTTTTATTGGGGGTGGTGATTAGTGGGTACTGGGGATTGAACCCAGGGCCTTTGCACTGAGCTATATCCCCAGAGCTTTTAATATATATATAATGTATAATATATAATATTTTTTGAGACAGAGTCTCACTTAGTTAAGTTGCCTAGGCTGGGCTCAAATTTGTCATCTTCCTGCCTCATTAGTGTTGGGATTGCAGCCATGTGCCAAAATATCCAACTGGATAGCTTTTATTATGTAGCAGTGATTATTATGATTTAGACATAAAATGTCCCCTAAAAGTCACCTGTGTTCAAAGTTGGGGCTTCTGAAAGATGACTGGATTGTGGGAGTACCATATCCACTAGCGGATTAATCCAGTCAATGAGTTCACAGTTGAATATGCTATTAGGAGGTGAGAACCAGCTGAAGGAGGTGGGTTGCTGGAAGTATGATGTGGAAGGTTGAATTCTTGTATATTTGTCCCTAGAGCGTGTGCAATCAGCCCCCCCTTCTCTATGTTTCCATCTCGATCTGTCTCTGTCTCTCTGTGTCTCTCTCCCTTTTTCTGTTTTTGTCTGTCTGTCTCTCTGTGTCTCTGTTTCTGTCTCTCTGTGTCTCTCTCTGCCTCTGTCTTTCTGTCTCTCTCACTCTCTCTCTCCTTTCTCTATGTTGCCATCTCTGTCTCTGTCTCTCTGTGTCTCTCTCCCTTTTTCTGTTTTTGTCTGTCTCTCTGTGTCTCTGTTTCTGTCTCTCTGTGTCTCTCTCTGCCTCTGGTCTCTCTCTCCCTCTCCCTCTCTCTCTCTCTTTCTCTCTTGTGTGTGCTCCCCCTTCCCTCCCTCCCTCTTATTCCTGATTGCCATGTGTCAAGCAGCCTTTCCTTGTCATTTCCTTCCCCCATGCTGTTTCTGAACCCACCAAAACTGTGAACAAAAGTAAATCTCTCCTCCTTTAAGTTGCAGGTGTCAGGTATTTTGTGCTAGTGATGGGAATGTGACTGATACAGTGACATACACTTTTACATCAGGAGCTCAGAGTTCCAGCTATCTTTTCTGTCTTTCTACCCAGGTTTCCACCTGACTATACTTTCCTATCCTGTTTCCAAATCCTTTCCACATGATCCTTCTCCCTTATCAGAAGCTGTATCTGTTCTACAACTCAGTGCTGAGCCAAGAAAACAGAAGCTGGAGAGATGGAGTCCACAGGGGACAATAGCCAGTTGCTGGCAGGAGAAGCCACCAGGACAGCAAAGGAGCTCTGATTTCTAATGTTTCCTGTGTGTGATGTTCTGGCTAATGGGAAAAAATGTGAAAGAAAGTATGCTACATCGTAAATAAAAGGAAGTAAGATGGAAACAAGAAATTATTTAGGACGTATCTACATGTTAGCATTATTTTGCAGGCACTAAAATGAAGTCTTTGAGTTATTCTTAATTACATGAGATATTCATGATATAATATTTATTTTAAAAGCCAGGAGACACCATTACTCTCAAGAGGCAAACATAGCATAGAAGTTAAGAGTATGGGCTGTGGCTACACAGCCATAAACCCAAATCTGTCACCAGGTAGTCATGTAGGGGAACTTAGATATGTCACTTAGCCCTTTCCATCACAATTTACCATGGTACAAAATGACAATAAAAATAAGTTGACTAAAAGGACTATATACATAAAAGATTTTAAAATTTCAATATATAGCATGAAGTTAATATTCTAAGTCCTCTATGAATTTCAGTTGCTTTTAAAGGTAATTATTTGAAGAAGTACTGGAGATAAATACACCCAAATATTAACAATAGTTGTTTCTGATTGTGAACTTTTCAATGATTTTTATTAACTCTCATTTTTACTGGCCCTCATTACTTACGTCTTTTATAAGACTATGGAAATAAATTGAAAAAAGCTATTTAAAAATAAAATGAGTAGCTTGTACAAAATATTTTATTATTTCAGGATAACTTTATACATAGTCTATTTTTATGTCTGAAAAATAATATAGCTTGTAAAAAGATGTTTTACTTAAAAGACTTCAACTATTCTTATAATCTATAAAGGTATAAAATGTAATCTTCCATGTGTATGAAAATAGTTCAACTGAAGACTGTGGATTCAAAAAGAGATAGTTAATGCCTGTAATGGCATACCCCATTACAGGAAGGTTTTCATAACACAGTGCTAGATGTCACTAAGCACTCACTGCATGCCAGACACTGTACTAAATTCTTCACTATACAGTCCTATGAAGTAATGTTGTCATTGTACTGTTTGAAAGCAAGGAGCCAGACACAGAAAGAATTTGAATAACTTTCCTGATTGCTCAATTATTAAAAAATAGCTTCCATAGGGCATCTAACTCAGCTCTAAAACCTGCATTCTTAGGCTATTATACTATTTTAAATCCTCAGATGTTTCATGAGATAAAGAGTATCATTTCCACTTTAAAAGTAAGGAAATTAAGGCCAATAAGTTTCCCAAAGTCAAAGAATGGCACAGAGATTTTAACCCCATTTTACAGCAGGGCTCCATCTTCTAACCACTTACTATTAAAACTCTATTTTGACAATGGCCCCAATGGCCCCAGGCAACATGTGAAGGATTTCTGGAAAACATGGCGAAGGGTATATGATTTCTTCTCTTGAAATCTTTAGATTCTTATCAGTGTGACAAGGTTAGAGACTACACATATCTAAGGGTGGAATGCAAAATAATTTTACCTTACTTCTTACCTCTTTAATTTGATTTGATGACAAGTCTAATTTTTGTAAGGAAGAATTACCAAGGAAATCAAGTTCTTCACCTCTTAGTGAATGAATTTTATTATTTGATAGTAGAAGTTCCTGGAGATTTTCTAGTTGGAGCTGAGTTCCTAATTGTGTAGATGATAAACCATTATGAGACAGATCTAGTTTGAGTAAATTCTGAGGATAAAAAACATATATATGTTAGAATCTTGCCATCAAAATCAGCTTCTCTAAATGTAAGTGAGTCTAAGAAATATATCAACAGTAAAATGTCATCTATTATTCTGCAGAGAATGGACAGGAGAAGTAATATATAATCTTTGCTGTGATTAAAAACACCACTATTGCAAGGATTCAGTATTTTTATTTAAAGAATAATTTTGCTTTACCAAAATAAAAGGATTTAGACCTATTCATTTATGAGATAAGACAATTCATAATTTACTTACTTATAATAGATGTTATTTACAATGCAAAGAATATTCATGTGGCTTATCAAACATGTAGTGTTATACATTAGCCTTAGCAATAATTAACAGAAAAAAGAAGGAAAACTGTTTCCTTAAGAAAAATGAGTAGAATTTTGCCACCCATGAAATCCTAAAAGCAGGTGTGCACTACCATGTCCAGCTAAGATTTTTATATTGAAAAAGATTCATAGTTCACAACACATCAATATTTGTTTTATTGTTTGTTTGTATTGTGGGATTAAAAAAGTAGCCTGACTCACTTTTGAATATGTAAACTTCAAACTCAGGTTAAAAAGTAAGACAAAACCTCATAGCTCTTAGGGGAAAATCTAATCTGTGTTAAGCAGAAAAATACTGTTATTTATGCTTCTTTATAAAGTAACATTTTGCCAGTATTTTCTGTAATCACATTTTGAGGTCTTTATGTCCAAAGATGCTTCATCCACATCAGACTCTAATAGGAAACAAGAAAGGGCTTAAAATAGCTAACCAACTGGCTAAAGGAAGTACTGAATAACTGCCTCAGACTTACAGATAATAACATGCATTTTCAGATTTAAAATCCAAAGTGCTAAAAAGTGATACTTTGAGGAGATTTCTTAAATAAAGAGTAAGAAATTTTTTGTTGAACAAATTACTCTGTCGTGTCAGTCTGTTAGCTCTATTTAAGTCAAAACTTGTACTTGATTTTTATCTTTCGCTATTTCCATATTAAATCAGTAGCATTGCAAGGGCATTTCCATGTTCCTCCCAGAGAGTCTGATGCTTCTCTGAGCTTGACTTATAACTCTTTTATCTAAGTCCTATTTCTAATAGGAGAACACAAGAGAGGAAGACTTCTTTAAATTTAAGAGAGGCAGATTGATTTAAGGCTATAATTTCAAAAATATGTTGTATCAAATGGCAGTATTTGTGTATGAGTCCCTGCAGTCCCAAAGGGGTAAATCAGCTTTCTTATTCTTACCTTGTTATTTAGGTATTTAGTCAAAGGATGATGAGTAAGTGACTTCAAAACTTAACATTAGATAAAATATTTTACATTTCTTAGATGGAAATAAACACTTTCATCTTACCTTTTGGTTTTTAAAAGGATTGTTTTGAATTTTCTGGATTGAGTTGGACATTAAACGGAGTTCAGTCAAATTCATGCAAAACATGAGGGTTTTATCAGAGAGATGAGATAGCTCATTATGTTGGAGGTTCAAAACTTTCAAAAAAGGCAGATTTTGGCACAGTTCTGGCTCTAGTTTTGAAATGCTGTTAAATCCTCCATCCAAGACAGTAAGTTTGCTATATCTTGTAAAATTGGCAGGTGGCAATCTTCTGAGCTGGTTGTGGGTCAGATTCAACACTGTTATGTTTGTGGGAAGGTTGTCAGGCACCTGCATCAGCTTCAAATGACTGCAATCAGCTACTTCACGTGTCACTGTGCATTTGTTGGTCGAGGTGGTACACAAAATCCAAAGGGGCCACAGTCCCAACAAGGCATAGATATTATAAGGCAAAGGCCCTTTCATGATTCTGCTCAGTGAAAGAAATATAGAAAAGTAGTGGATAATTTTGCTAACACATGCTTTCAAAAATATTAATATATTCCTTGTGAAGATATAACTAAAATTTGGCTAAGTATAATATTTTTACTCATAGCTTATGTTATTGAACTGTATAATATACAACAAGTGCAAATAATTCAGAAAGGTAAAAATTCAAAAAAATTCAGAAAGGTAAGACATGAAATATGCAAATCCTTTCTCATTCTTCACTTCCACCCAAGTTGTGGTGTTCCAAGGTAACCTCTCAGGACAGTTTCTTTTCTTATTTTTGGTACCAGGGATTGAACTAGGAACCTTCCCCTTTTGAGGCAGGTGGTGGAACCACTGAGCTAAATTCTCAGCTGGATAGTTGCTATTTTAAGTTCTCATAACTACTTCTATAAAAAATGATTTACTTGCCCTTCTACTTCTTTACTAACTTTAAGCATTTACTTCCCATTACAAAGATATGGTAGTACAAAGATACGGTAGTTAGTAATACTATTTCTTCATTCTCTTCACCACTTTTTTATTTTATTGAATGTACTGTTACATTTATAATTTTAAAGATTACACCTAAAACTCCATTTATGAAGCAGTCAACTTTAGACTACATATTTTAAAAATTATTTTTATTAACACAAAATAATTATACACATTTATGGGGTACAGTGTGATTATTTTAATATATATACATGATGTGTAATGATCAGACCACAGTAATTGGTATTTCCACCACCTCAAACATTTACCATTTACATTGGAAACATTCAAAATTCTTTTTAGTAGCTATTTTCAAATATGCAATCAAGTATTGTTAACCATCATTATCTTACCGTGCCATAGCATACTTGAAGTTATTAATCTTTTCAACTGAAATCCAGTATTTGCTAACCACCCTCTCTCCATTTCCTCCCCCACACCCTTGCCAACTTTTGGCAATCACTCCTGTACAATTCTAGGAGACTAAGTGCTTTAGCTTCTACTTACAAGTAAGAACATGGGGTATTTGCCTTTTTGTGTCTGACTTATTTCACTTGACATAATGTCCTCCAGGCTCATCAACGTTTTTACTAAGTGTTTTCTTCCCACTATAAAGATAAAGAACTTAAATTATACTCGTCCTTCCATCTCTTCACAACTTCTCTTATATTATCTTTAATTTTATCTAATATATTGCTGGGGTTTTTTGAGTATGTTTGTGGTACATAATGAACATATTAGCTGTGAGTAGTTGGTACATATACATGCACAACACATTTTAATTCTTTTTATCCCCTCCTCTCCCTCCCTCCTCCCAACATCTCTTGGTCATCTTCTCATTGCTGGATTTATAATTTTAACGGCTATACCTAAAATTATATTTCTTGGTCAACCAACCTTAACAAAATCTCTTCATGCCTCGCTTTGTGATACAGGAAATGCACCCTTGTGTTTTCTCTACACTTCCATCCTTACATTTCCTAAAACTGTCAGCTCCATCTTTGCTCAACATTGTCAAATGTGAAATGCTAGCAATTTATCCCTAGACTCTGATTAAGCAGGCAGTGCTTGGCCTAGATGAAACTGTGAAACCTGAAGGTCGTAAGTATCATTTAGAGTTTCACCTATACAGCATGAATATGCTGGACTAAAGGATGACTCATGTGCCTGGTGGAACTAAGGGAGATGGTGAGATCTCACCTCACAATTCAGAACACTGTGCAACGTAAAACTTATATTTGTTTCTGGACTTTCCTATTTAGTATTTTTGGCCTTCTGTCAACCATAGGTAACTGAAATAATGGAAAAAGCCACAGGTAAGGAAGGAGTCTGGACTTTTTCATTTTTCCTCTTTCTTTCTTTCTTTCTTTCTTTTCTCTCTCTCTCTCCTCTCTCTCTGTCTCTCCCTGTCTCTTCCTGTCTCTCCCTGTCTCTCCCTCTCTCTCTGTCTAACTCTGCCTGTAGTTTTATGTCCCTAGCAAAACCAATATACAAAAAAAAAGAAGCACATTTGAGGCATTTAAAAATATCTAGGACATGATTTATATTTTTGGATCAACACAATAACCCTCTTCATATAACAAATTAGAAGATAAAACATAATAAATATAAAAGTCAATATTCATATTTAAAAAAACAGTGTTTGATTTAAATTATTGCTCACTTAGAAAATAGAACAAATATTCTCTGGTTAGGGATGCTCACATTAAAAATGGTATCATATCAGTATCTACTGTATACAAAATTCTGGGGTCCAAATATAATGAAATTTATAATAATTACACAGAAAGCCACCATTTAGCTTTCCATGATGAAAAATGGAAAAGAAGTGGTTGAATTACTTCTTCGGTAGTAAACTTTGTAGGACATACAAAGTGTTCCTGTTAGCATCAATTATTGTAAAGTTTTTTTATGAAATATTAAGGTATGCTTACATAATCATTACCACACAAGGGAGAGAAGAGAAACTAAAGCTCTAATTTTAAACAACACCAAAAACAATATAAACTAGTACTATAATAAAACATTTAAACAGTACTAAATAGAACAAATTAAATTCTAAGTTAGGTATTATCATTAGACTTCCTCTTAGAAAAATCAGTTCCTGGGCTTTTAGATGTATTTCCTTGGAAAAATAATGAACATCCACCCTTTTCTCAGTTACATGTTGGGTCTGTTTCCATGCCGTTTAGTAACAATCCCATCAGACATTCCTGGGTTCTCCTGAGGAATCTCCAAGGAGTCCTGTCTGCATGTTCATGGTGGGGGCCACTGGGTACTGGGTTTGGCTTATAGCAGGATAGCCTCTGCTGTTTCTTTGATGGTAGATGCAGCTCTCTCCAGCTCTTCCTCTGTCTGTTCCACTGTGACCACAACTCTGATGCTCAGAGAGGGGAGGCACTTCTCTTCTTTCTCCAAATAGTATGCCTGAGTTAATGCAATTCTTTTGTTCATGCACTGGTTTATGATTTCCTGAAGTAGTTTCACATCTGTCTTTCGAGACCCAGTACTGTCTTCCAGGTGTAGGTGAAACGCTAGCGAAAAGGATTCCCCCACCACTTTTAATCCAGAAATGCCTTGTAAAGCTTCATGAATCATTGGCACTTTTTCTTCAAAACTGAAAAACTATCTGGATTCTCTTCCATGATGTTGAGGGCCTCAATGGTAGCAGCAGCTAACAGGGGAGGTAAAGAAGTTGAAAAGCAGTACCCCTGGCCAGAGAGTCTCTGGTGGTTGACTACCAAAGGCCTACCACAGCAGAAACCGGCAATGGAAGCAAGTGAGTTCTCCATGCTGGCCCTGATAAGGTCAATGTCATCAATACTGATTCCATAGTACTCAGTGACTCCTGGGCCATGCTCCTCAAGAACTCCAAATGAAAGGCTTTCCTTCAGAAAAATTCTTGCTTTGCTTGTATTTTAACTTGCTAAAATTTATTTGTAAACTCAAGTCAACCACTATCTATCTCCACAGTGTCAGTGGACACGCTCACCTGCAGGATGGATGGCCGAGCTACCTGACACACACGTTCTCATGGTCCTCTCATAGACACTATTTATTGCCATGTTTTATTGCCATGTTTTTCAGTTTTGTGCTTTTTGCTGGCAACTGCTGCTTAAGATGGCCCCAGATGAAGTGCTGTCTAGGCTTCTTAGTGAAAGAAGGATGTGCTGTGCCTCATGAGCAAATGTTGAAGAAGCTCCATTTGGGGAGGAGTTTGGTGTGAACGAATCAGCAGTGTGTACTAAACAAAGTATCAACTTCTGAAGAGGACAAATACTTCCAGTATTCATATACAATCCTTCTACTATGATGAACCATTGAGTTACATGAGCCTTGTGAGGATTCTTCTGATCTTCAATCTCTTGTTCTTTTAGCAGTTTCTCCAGGTCAGCCACATCATTATGATTAAATAACTTAATGTTGTTACATGAGGCCTGTAATCCTTTCTTTTTTTTGTTTGTTTTTTTTTGTTGTTGTTTTGTTTTTTGTGGTTTTTTTGTAATCCTTTCTTAATAGCAAAGCAGGCTGCTCTATCTACAAGTATGATATCCCCTCTTTTAGAGTAAGCTGGAATTGCGCTGGCTATGGTGGAAAAACCATATGAGTATATAATAGCTTCTTCAGTTTTCATAAATTTTGCTAGGTACTCTTCCAAATCCAAGTGAACATCAAATGTGCCACAAAAACCTCTAGGTCCACAGGTCCCCATGCCATACTACTTTAGAAATGTTAAAGCTGCTGCCTTAGCCTGAAGGTTATCTAGCAATCCAAGGAAATTAAAGGAGGCAAAGTTTATACATCATTTTCCACTCACCACAATCTTGAGGCTTGGAGGGAGTTCGTAGAGGTTTTAGTTCATAACTGGCTGGCTCCAAGGCCAGGATGGCAAACAAGCATCACAGAGGAGAAACAACATGGTGCACACAAGGCAACAAAGGTAACAAGAGGTATGGTTTTAGCTTTTATGTGAAGGTTTATGATCTCTTCTAAATTTTGTGTATGGCTTAAAGTAGGAGTCAGGATCAATTTTTTCATGTATAACGTTAGTTAGCCTACTTTTTAAAAAAGACTTTCCCTTATTGGATTGTTTTTGCACCTTTCTTTGAAAAACTAACAAACACTTAAGTGCGGGTCTATTTCCGTACTCTGTACTCTCTTCTACTGAAATATTTGTTAATACTACACTATTTTGATGACTATAGCTTTATAGTAAGTCTTTAGTCTAAAATGTTAATCCTTTTGTTTTGTTAATTTATTAGATTGTTTTTCCATGCCATGATTGATGAGAATTATCTTATATTTATTATGTACTTATTAATTATCCCTCTTTACTAGAATGTAAAGCTAACATAGTAGAGCTGTAAGTTTGTTAAATTCCACAGTGTGGTCTCTGCCTAGAACAATGCTGGAATATGGTTGTGTATGAATAAATTAAAATATATTAAATGAAGAGCCTACCATGATCATTTAATCAACCTAAGAAATACAGTCATACTTTATTTTGATGGGATGGATGTCCTAGGTAGTATTCTCTGGTATGATCACTACTATAGTTTCACTTTCAGAGGTTTTATTTTTAAATTTTTATTGTTAGTAGTACCTGTTTATAGTACTTCATGATTACATTCATTGTGGAGAGTTGGTACGTGTATATAACACGTCTTAATTCTTTGTATGTCCTCTCTCCTGTCTTCTCTTCCCCTCCTCTTTCCATCTCTTGATCCTCTTCCCATTTGCAAAAGATCTATCTCCCTGTTTCCCATTATCGATCTTTTACTTTGGATATTTAAAATATCAAATGCACCCTCAACATGTGAAAATAAATCAATGCCAATAATACTTAAATTGATGTCCCACATGATCTAAAATTCATGACACAAGAATAATTACAGATAAATTTTAGAGGATAAAATCATTCTTAGTGGTTAACTGCAGAAAAACAGACTAATCTGAGTACTTAAAATTTTACTAATATTCTTTTAAGAAGAGTGGTTTGTCTAGTATTCTAATCTGGTCCTCAGAAAAAATAAACAGCTTTCATAAAGTAATATTCCACTTGTATGATCTTAAAAATACTGAACCAGAGCCGGGGATTTAGCTCAGTGATTCCGCCTCCTGCCTCGCAAGTGCAAGGACCTGAGTTTGATCCCCAGTACCAAACAAACAAACAAACAAAAAATACTGAACTAAATATTTTTAAAGCTACACACAATTTTTATGTTCATAGGCTATAGAAACATCATAGCCCTGAGTAGCAAGGATGTACATTACCAAATTGTTCAGATGCATGGAGCTGAAATGATGTATTCTGAAAATCAAGGACCAGTGCTCCTACCTCCCACCTTTCTGACTTTCTCTCAAAGCCCTACCATTACCAGCAGATTCTTCTACCTCTTCTTGGCGACTCACAGGTCTGGTCCCTGCTATATATAATCTCCTCCTTGTTAAGGGACTCCTATCACTCTGGGAGGGCTTTAGATGGAAATCCAAATTACTGAGAATCCATACTGACTAATTCATTTAGCTAGCATGCCTCTGAAAGTCCCATTCTGAAGACACATTTCATTGATGAGAAACACTTGGCAAATAGTAACTAAGCAAGATGTGTAGAAAAGGAAAACATATGGAAAGAATCTTATAAAATTTTCACAATTTTGATCACAGTCCAGAAACAAACTAACAAATATTCTAAACATTCAAAGGAAAGCATATAATTAATTTCTTCCAAAGGAAAAAGATATTGATTGATACAAAACTTTTCATCAGATAAGCTTCCAAAATTTTTAAGGGAAATTATTTTGAACCTAAAATGTCATATCCAGCAGAACAATTAAAGAAATGAAAAAAGAATTTTGAGATAGGCAAAAATTCATAACCATATAACCTGTATGAAAAAGTTATTCTAGGACATAACATCAATAAAAAATATAATTTAAAATGAAATGAGAATGAAAAGAAAGTTGCTATTGTTTTTCAGATCTAATTGGAACAAAGAAAGCAAAAAGAGAAAAGAAGAAAGAAAAAGAGGAAAGACGGAAGGGAGGTAGGGAGGGAAGGAGAGAGGATTGCAATTTTGGAAAAATTTTTGAGGGGACACTGTATTATGTTTCTTTGTCCAAATAAGAGACAGTATTGCATTATGGTTAGGACATGGAATTTGGAGCCAGACTATCTGGAGTTAACCACTAGTTACAGATTGGATTGTAAATGTTGCCCCTTTTTTTTGAAAGTTAATACATAGGTACCTAGATGCAGATGCATGCCAACACATAAAGATATTGTAATACTATGAATCAATTTGCTGAAACTTTAATATTACTGAAAGCTGACTATTTTTACCCGAGTACCCCATAATTGCTGATGTTAACTTCTGATCTTTCAATGTATATGAACATTTCCCCTCCTTTCATCTTCCTCCTCTTTTCTTTATTAAGTGAAATAAAGCCATTTACTTACCTTTAGGAACACCTGAATGGTATTCTTCTTTTACAGCACATTATCATTAAATGCCAGCTCTCCTCTCCTCTCCAGCCAACAAAATTGAGAAAAGGAGGTAAGTTTTTTTTTAACATCTGGGGATTTTTGTATTTTTTAAGGGAAAGATCTGATTTTTTTAAAAAGAAAAAAGCCGTCACAAAATAATTTCCACAGCTTCTCCAATGCGCATTTTCAGGTACAGAACTCTACAGAGCAAACAAGCTAAAACTACCACATAAACATTGTATCATGTCAATCGGAGATTGCTGCTGTTACTTGGATTCTGAGTTATCATTCTCTTCTCTTCATACCTGTATCACCTCCCTTTTTATCTGTTTTCCTTGCTGACTGATTCTGACACAATGTCAAATACCAGATAAAAAAACCCTTGACTGCTAAAGGCAAAGTGCATTCTGTCTTCCCTTAGCAGGAAAAATCCAGACCCCCATAAAGACTTAAAATATATACCTGCATTTATTCGGATGACTGCTGGCCATTTCTGTTTTTCATTAGTCCAATCCAGACGTTTCCTCAGGGAAGTGCATGTTGCAAGGTTGCTGCAATTTCGAAAGTGAAACTAAAGTTAATTTCAAAGAACAGAAAGAAAGGCTCTTGTATTTGTTGTACTCAGATATGGGAAGGGAGATGGGAGAAAAGAGAAAACAAAATACAGAATAATCCTAGTGAGGTGCTTCAGTTGCTTCTTAAAAATGTCTCTTTTAAGATTGTTTTAGGTACAATGGCCTGGAATTTATTGAAATGGTCACAGTTTTAACCAGGGAGAGAGTTGAAAGGATAGGAACTCCTTGCTAGTGTGGGTGAGGCTGACATTCTGGAAGTTAATGAATACTGTCCTTACGTGAAAGTGAATTCTGCTTTTGCATACTGCTGTAAAACTGTCAGATTCCAGTAGTATATAGTCAGAGGGACAGAGAAAACCTTGAATCCCTACTTGAGGCTAAAGCACCTTTCCATTGATTATTTTGTTTTAGCTTCCAGCCCTTAAAATAAGCAAGGCTGAATTTAACCTCTTGATCAGAAAAGAAACCAAGTTTCACAACAAAGAGAAGTGAAAGCAGAGAAAGCTGAGCCAGTCCACCCTTCTACCTCAGCACCTGCTAGGGACCTAATAGGTGTGCCAGAAAAAGTTCAGGTTAACTATTACTTCTCAATTAGCTTTAATGGCTGCAATTAGTTAAAGGAACAGGTTTGCAAGGAAAAAACTTTCAGTATTTCATTACTGATGCACAGTGATATAACCAGATCATTATATAGAAAAATAAAAGTTTGAAGGATGTGTTGAGAGCACCTAACCCAACTTCCTTGTTTTAGAAATGAGAAAAAGAAACCTAAAGAAGTGCATTATTTGCCTGAGGATATATCAGGTTACCACAGTGATTCTTGGGACAAACAAGCACTAAAACAGCCAGGGAAATTTGAAAACATGTCACTAGCTTGAATTGATTGCAGAATACACAGCAAGAAACAAATTTATATCATGATATAAATTGCTCTCTGCTGGCCCCTGTCTTAGGGAAACCACCCTGTGGTTGTTGCGCTCATGGCTACATTTAAAAAATTTTTTCAATTGTAATGTAATATAGTACAATAGTACTGTAATAGTTTTATAATATAGTACATAAGCAGTCGTCCTGAGTAAACAATTATTCATCCACTGGGATGTGCAAGAAAACAAGTAATGCTTACTGCAATTCAGAAGATTTCATCTCTGTGAGCTCTTTGAAGGCAGCACACAGTATATTCTTTGTATTGTAACTTTCCAACAACTTTTCTGTAGTAGACTGTTGCCATGCACCTTTTCAATATTCAACCATTATGTGGTCTTCTACACTAGCTCTGGGCCTAGCCATGTGGCCAACCTTGCCCACTGGGATAGTAGAAAGCATGAATCACAGCTTGATTACCAACAATGATCACCAAGGTCTGATCAAGTACTGGTACACTGGGACTTATTTCCTTATCCCCACTCCCAGCTCCTAGCATGCTTCTTTTTGTAACTCCTAATTATGTACTGAGAACCCAGCTTAGCTGTACAAAGGATACATAGAAGAAACTGAAGCTCTAGCTAACAGCCCTAACTATATACCCAGAAGACAGCTAGCATCAACTTGCTTGACATATGAGTAAGCCACCTGGAAGCATATATCCCACCTCAGCTGAGTTACTACAGCTAAGGTCACAAGGAACAGAAATAAACTATCCTCAACAAGTCTTGTAAATTCTAGAATAGTTAGCCAATAAATTATTGTTGTTATTTTAAATAAAAAATCGGAGTGGTGTGTTATGTTTCATTAGACAATGAAACACATTTCTTTAATAACATTAGGTATCCATCTCTTATGCTTTATGATACTTATACTACGTATTAACTTTTACATGATGTTGATAGACTAAGGAATGGACTTCAAGAAATAATTTTTACTGATGGTCTCATAATGCAATAATTGTTACAAGCTTAATACCAGCTCACACCCAGATATTACTAGTTCTCTATTCCTTTTCCCTTCTAAATACAATATAGATTGTTTTCTCTCCACTGTACATTTCTTAATTACGTACTAAGTTATCTAGTCATTAAGGTGATGAATGCTACAGGGAAATGCTTATTTTTCCCTTTCTAAGACAAGTAAAAAATGTAAAATATGTTCAAAAGTGCAAAATAACAAATACAGATTTACTAGCAGTTCATATAGCATTATAGAGCAGCCAATCTCAAAGTAAATGTGAAGCTTGTTATTCCCAACATACCTCAGAATTCCCAAAAGAATTATAGAAGGCATATTTTCTTAAACTTGCTAAGTCTATAAAAAAAGCTCTAGCAAGTTTTCTTCTTCGACCCAAGAGAGTTCATTTTTATGAGAACTCAGTAAGATAATATGTACAAAAATCTGGAAAAATGAATAGAGGACACAGAAAATTACAGAGCCTACAAATAAACAGATAATAATTTACTTTTTATCTATTTATTAAACTACAGATGTAGTATGCTCCTCTGCTTCCTCCTAATAGTAATTATCTAAAAACTACTCATTCCTTTTAAATGATATTTACAATCATTTTAATTATAGGTAAATAATTTTTTATGATCAAGTATAATGTATAGCCGGTAGGAGGGCTGGTTGCTTCATATAAGATTTATAAGGGAAAACTTGATTATCATTTTTATTATTGTCAGTATCAGTATCTAATACTAGACTATTAGTATTAGCATCAGTCTAAACAGTAGACTACTGAAAGCTTTTTTGTTGCTTATTTGGGGTTTTGTTTTGTTTTGTTTTGTTTTGTTTTGTTGAGACAGAGTCTAGTTTTGTGGTGTAGGCTGGCCTCAAACTCACTAGCCAAGGCTGTCCTCGAACTCCTGGCAATCCTTCTGCCTTAGCCACCAGAGTGCTGAGATTACAGGCATGTGCCACCACGCCACACTACTACTGAAAGCTTTATGGAGCTGTCCTTACAATCTTCAATATGGATTATATTAGGCATGAAAATTGCATAACTGTAGCTTTTGACCACTGAAATGATGGGACAAACAGTAGACTTTCTTCTCAGTGCATCTATCTGAAAAGTGAGGTTAATATTGAACAGTAATTACACATTGCCCAACTCGGTGAGGACAGAATGAAAAGAGAATTGATTTCTGAGAAATAGTCAAACTTATGCAGCAGTGAATGTGCAATGCATAGGTGTAATTTAAATTGGTCCTAAAGAATCTCAGAAGTAAATCTTTATTAATGAAAATAGAGATTAGACTAGCCTTCTCTAGGTTAGCAGGAAGCCATACCTTTTCATTATTAAAACTTCATGTGAGCATTTAATGTAACTGTTATACTATTAACTGAAATAATAAATTTCTCTCTGAGCTTTAGACAGTCTTGTGAACTGTGCTCACTGCTCTCCCTTCACAGTCACCATTCAGAAAGGCCAGCGTCCTGTTCTATGTCATATGAAACTCTGAAAGGCACTTCTGTTCGATTGGAACACTTTCCCTAAAGAAAAAAACGCAGTTCCTCTTGCCACTGTCATCCATAGAACCCAGCAAAAATTTCAACAAGGGAGGAAATACACTGTTCCCTTTCCCTACTCTCACTTATGTCTACTGAAAAGAATTCAACTTGTACTTCCTCTTGAAAAAGAAACCACAAGAGCTTGTGGTTTAACCTAAATTTTAATTTATTTTTCATTTTTTGTAATTTTACATACTAGTTGAAAAGTAGTGGTATCTTTTTAATGAGCTATGCACAGCTTCATTTCTTTCTTGTTTTAAAAAAGCACTTTGTTGTGATATACTTGACATACAAAATCTGTACATATTCAGTGCATGCACTGTTAAAAGTTTGGAAATAACCTGTGAAGCTATCACCGCAATTTCTAATTTAAGTCTTATTACCCCTACAATTCTTTACTCTCATTTATTTACTTTCAGTGATAAGAACTTAATATTTACCCTCTTACCAAATTTTAAAGTTCAATACAATGCTGGTAACTATAGGCAGATGATGGTTAAGGTTAATTGTTAACTTCATTCACTTGGTATCAGCCTACAGGATTAGTAAGGCGCTCTTCTGTGTATGTCCAGGTATGTTATAGAGACATGCCCTAGGTGCTACACAAAGCACCTGGGCCCTTTCTCTCAGCTGCTGTTCTGCTGCTTTGCTTCCTGGCTACCATGAAGTAGGCAAGTTGCTGTGCCATGCCTTTGTGCCTTGATATTCTGCCTTTACCAGCAGACCATAGAGTAAACTTTTGAAATCATGAGACAAATAAACCTTTCCTCTTCTAAATTGTGGGTGTTGAATACTCTCTCTTAACAATAGGAAAGGTAACTAATACATAAAATTGGTACCAGAGAACGAGATAGTTGCTGTGACTATACCTGACTATGTAGTTCACACTTTTGGAATTGGTTTGTGGGAAGAGTTAAATTTTGGAGATGTACTCTAGGGAGGGCCTACAAGGCTGTAAGCAGAGCTGGATGGGCCATTCTGGTTAGAGCTCAGAAGACCAGAATCTTGATAGAAATGCAAATAATAAAGGGCAGGCACATAAGATATCAGATGGGGACTCTCTTTGAAAATAAATGAGAGATCATGCATGTTACATTCTAGCAAAGAACTTGTCTACATTTTGCCTATGTCCTAAGACTTCACAAAAGCTAAATGTAGGAATGTTGACTAATTGATCTGGTGGAGAAAATATCAGGGCAGCCCAATATTCAGGCTGTGACATTGATATTAATGGCTTTTAAACCAGATTTATGGTGAGAATCAGGATCAAAAAGTAGAGCAAGGGCCGGGGATTTAGCTCAGTGGTTCTAGCACCTGCCTTGCAAGCACAAGGTCCTGAGCTCCATCCCTGGGACCACAAAAAAAAAAAAAAAAAAAGCAGAGCAGAACAATTTGAAAATCTTAATTTTTTGACTTGAAGAAGTCACAAGTAAAGTTGGGGCCAAAGGAGGTGTGATTGTTTTTTAACACTATAAAAATAATCCAGATTGGTTCTCTGGGATTTGTCTTATCATTCTTAGGATTCCAAACACTCAAAGGCACTGCTACCATGATCTGAGGGGGCTTGGCTTCTCTTCCAGCTAGTGGCAGACCTTGCCATTGGCCATGTATTACTGGTTGTTCAGACACCCAGAATACGGAAGCTGTGTGGTCATAGAGGCTTCTACCCAGGTTTGAGAAGAAGGTCTGGGAGGTCAGGAAAGGAACTCCTTACAGAGCAGTGCATGACGCTGTGGGAATAAGACTAAGGTGAAGTGGAGACTCCAAGAAAAGTCAAAGATTCCAGGAATATGGGTCATCCGCT